CGTCGATGTTTCCTTTTAAAAAAAATAAAAACAAAAAAAAACGATAGAGTCTTGGTCAACGGCTTCCCATCCTCCTCATTTAGAGTCACACAATCCCTACGCCAGGGATGCCCCCTCGCCCCTTCCCCGTTTGTTATCCAGTTAGAAGTACTCCTCAACATGGTAAGGCAACATCCAGACGTTGATGGCATACACACCTCTCCACAATATTGTATCAAACTCTCAGCCCTCGCTGACGTCTTTTCAGCAATTTCAGAAAATTCTACTTCATCCTTATCGGCATTGGAAGAACATCTTTCCAGATACAAGATTGCCTCGGAGATGAGGGTTAGCTGGCATTGCCTCGGAGATAAGGGTTAGCTGGCAGAAATCTGTCGCCCTCACCCCGCAAGGACAACCCCTTGCTGTAGACCTCAGGATTCAGGTAAAATCCAGTTCAGAACTTCAGAAGTGGAAAGATAACTGGTATTCAAGTTTCTTTTGGTGACTCTTCACAGGTACAGGACTCAATTCTTGAAAATAGGATTAGAGATGCTGGCACCACATGGTCCAAAACTCACTTCCTTTCCCTCTTTGGTCGAGCAATGGTTATTAAGTAATATTAACACATTTATCTCTTCTAGGATCTGGTACATACTATCTATTCGGGCTCTAAGTGCTGCTTCAGCCGTTAACATCAAACACCAAACGGTTACTCACTCACTTTCTGTGGAAAGGAAATTCGGAAGCCCGATCGGGCGTGAGTAAAGCTGGATGGTCAAAAGTAACTGAGAAAAAGGAGGAGGGAAGCCTGGGGATTATTGATCCTGAAACTCAGAATCAAGCCCTACATCAACAGAGAATCAACCGTGGATTGAACTAGCTCAGTACTCTCTTGCGAAGGACTGGAAACTCTCTAACCCGGAGGCAGTCTGGCATGCGCTGTTGATGCATCCATTCACGTCCAGGAAAGTGAACAGAACTTGCAATGACATCCTTAATGCGTGGGGGGAAATGCTCCCCCAACTTCTCGCTCTACCGGAAACCAAAGATGAAATCCATAATACCTGTCTTTTTGAAAACCCTGCTATCCTCAACTCGGCCAGGCTTCCCTTCTCCGTAGCGAAATCACCAGGTAACCACATCGATGCAACGGGGCATTTGGTTGGTGTGACACATCTGAAACGAGGAAAAGTCACACCTGGAAGACAGCCAACGATCTCAGGCCATATCTATCAGGTCTGCATCACAGACACAGACACCTGACAGAGATCATCAACACCCTACCTTCCTCATGGACATCTACCCTATCCTGCCAAGGTAACATTCACATGGAACAGCAGTGGTTCAAGATTCCAGCGACCTCTGATCGCTTCTACAGAATCGACAGGATTAGGGAGGAAGGCAGGAAAGATGGCAGCATCCGAATGGGTGATGAGAGACTCCCGCTTGACACAAACGAAGGGAAGGACCCGCAGGAAATTCATGCAGAAGGACTGGAAGAAGTAAGAGTCCAACTAACGAGATCCTCAGGTGGTTCCTCAGTTTTTCAGATTATCATGCAGGCTGTTCCTCTCAGCAAATGGAAGGTTGATGTCTCCAAAAACGGTTGGATCATATCTACATCAGATGGGTCGTCCACCAAAGTCTCTATTTTAGACTATACCGCCAAAGTTGGTTACAAGTTCCAGTCCGAGTCTAAAAACCTGCAGTCCGGCCTCTCTACTGCCTGGCAGAGACGAATGCCCTCACTAAATCTTCAACCACTTCCCCCCAACTGGCTTATACATTCTTTATCTGTATATCATCCTTTCTTCTCTGGAGACAAAATTAGGGGGGATCCGATGTCTACACCTTCACTCTTGTGTTCCAGCAGCATTACGGTGTTCTGAGAAAGGAATGGAAATCTGTGTCTTTTGTGACATCTGCACACATCGTTGTCTAGAGGACTGGCTACACCTCCGGTGGGAATGCATCATCGCCAGAGGCTTTTCGGAATTTCTAAATTCAATACGGGCTGGGGCATACACTATAGTGGGTTCCTGGAACCAAGATCTAGTCATCACTGGGAGAGTCAGCCCTCTATTTGATTAGGGACCAACAGTCTGGCATGCTGGCCCAATATTTCAGGTCAAGAGCTTTTGGGGCTTTATGGATAGCAAGAAGGGACAAGAGGTTTCTCGACAAATGTAACCCCCTTCCCTTGATGCTCGCTCAGTACAGCGTCTACAGACAGATGATTCGGCTGGATATCATGGCAGATTGGATCAAGACCAAGAAAGCCTCCGGAAATCAAGAATTTGCCAAAGCTATTTTTCGAAAGAAATGGTCGACCCCGTTCAAACTTCAAACAGGCCAACTTCACAGAAGACAACAAGCTGTTCTACTCAGACCTCCTCTGGGACCACTCTCCCACCAGCACTACCGTCTTCACCCCAATAAAACGCCCGGTAATTATAGCTGCATCTGGACTGAAAGTTCTGCCAAATGCAGCTATAATGACCGGGTGTTCTGTTCGGGTGAAGACGGTAGTTAGTTAACTTAGTTTTAAGTTTTAACTTTTAAGTCACATTTTCTGGCAACTGTGAAGGTAGCGAGGACCTGATATGGAAAGTTCCCAGGTTCTCCTCTTGCAATTCGTTAACTTTATTTATCTCAGTTTTCCTTCTTAGTGTTTAGCTTCAGAAGCGAAGCCGGGTAGTGCTCCCGGAGGACGGTTCCACTAGCAAACAAGTTATGGACTATTATGACCTGTGCGACAGGTTGAGAAAAGAAAAATAAATAAAATTAAAGACAAAAAAAAAACAAATGGTGATGTTGCAGTCCCCAGATGGGAAGGAGGTCAGCGTTTGAAAGTGCTGCGAAAGGCGGCCGTCTTCTTGAACATGAGAATCGACAGCTGCCGCTGTGAGGCACCTCTGTGGCAACTTCACATGAGCTCGGAGGCCCAGGACTCCTTCTTTTTTTTTTTTTTTTTTTCTTTTTTTTTTTCTTTTTTTCTCAAAAAGTCCAGGGTATTGTAGAGGTCAGTCAGTGATTGCACAGTGATCACCTGGAACTGTGAGCCACAGGTGTCCTTCTAAGACCCCATCCCAACCCATCCTCACGTCAATACTCCTAGCGCACCCCCTATCCCACTATCCTACCTCAGCGTGACCAGCACTCAGGACCATTGCCCTACCCACGAGCAGGCAACTTGCACCGAACAGCAGTGATAGGCACCAGGGCTGATGGGTCACCCAGCCCTGGTGGAAGCGGAATTGGACAAACCTTGTCGAACAGGAACTTCGGACGCCAGGCCCAGACAATGAACAACAGGCCCCCATATATCTAGCCACCAGACAGTTCTATTCGAATGTCAGTAGGAACTGCACCCAATGGCAACCTATCCAACCTACCTGAACCTACTGCAGGCACTAGACCCTACCAGTGACTAGCCCCCCAGTCTGTTTTTTTTTGTGTACATATATATTCTGTGAACCTATGTTGGCAGTTTCATGTGTGGAACATGTGTATATGGTTGTATGCTGCACCCCACCATGGAGCATCTATGATGTGAATAGCCACCAGATCGTTCAGAATCTATCCGAATGACAGTAGGAACTGCACCCAATGGCACCCTATCCAACCTACCCGAACCTACTGCAGGCACTAGACCCCACCAGTGACTAACATGTGTGTACTGTATGAAGTCATATGTATATATATCAAGGAGAGGACGGGGCAAGCTGGACAAGAACCCCCCCCAAGGATCAAGCCAGGCTCGAACCCGTGCCCTGTAACGTGTAAATCCAAGACTCTACCATATGAACAACCACCAGATATGGATCAAACGTGTGATATGCCAGACTGGGGAGAAACCAGAACACCTGCAACCAACACCCCAAGCAAACCCTGTGACACCCACAACCAACATACAATACCGTGGACTACCCTTGGGTGGTGCGCATGCAGTGTCTGTAATAGTACCATGCGTCAGCCCAAGGGAATGTGTGTCCAGCCGTGCGTCAATGTAACGCCCTGCCGGTGTCCATGTGCAAGGCCCAGGACTTCTTGATGCTTGCAAAAGCTGCAGAAGCCCTCCGAGTAACAAACCACATTCGATGCATGTATCCTGTCAGGGAACCAAGGTAGATAGATTTCTGTTTTCTTTTCTTTTGTTTTTCACTGTATTTTATATGTTTGCGAAGGTAGATACATTTCTCTTTCACTTTTTTGTTTTCTTTTCTTTTTCTGCCTATTTTCCATAGGGCCTCGCTGCACTCTACTACTCTCCCCATGTACAAAAGACAAAAAATATGGCGCCGCATCTTCCCATGTTCTAGCAGAACATTCATTATCATTTTGCACATTTGGAGAGTAGTTGCAGCGAGGCCCATACTGGCGAGTTAGCCCCTTTGCACATGTAGTAAATCGTATGCACGTACACTCCCATACGACTTGTAGAGCGTGCACAGACTTCGTTCCACTACTCTCGAAATGTGCAAAACGAGAGTGAATCTTGCAGTAGAACATGGAAAGATACACAGCTATGGTTTTTGTCTTTTGTGCCTGTCGAGAGTAGTGGTGCAAGGGCTATATGACGAAGGTCAGGGTCGATTATTCGCTGCTTCCACTTGGCGTACGGATTCGGTACCTGTAAGATGAAGCTCGCTGTTAGGACCACGTACTCCGAATCGTAATGTACGGTGTTCTGTCCTTTCTGCCCGCGGTGCGCAGCACCTGTATTCAGAAACGGAAAACGGGAAAGCTCTCGTTTGTGGTCCATAGCTTCGTGGGTGGCAGCGTTCGATAGCAGGTGCACTGTTCCATGTGGCATCGCCAGGCACTGCAACCCCTCCCACACAGCTGAGTATGGAGGCCCATCAGTACAGTTGGGAACAGTGGAAGTGTATTCTCTGGGCATGCACCTCCACCCAGTGGTCCTTCAAAGCCAGTCTCCCCCTTCTTTGTTCCCAGTTCGTCCGATGGGAGGTCGCTGGAGGACACGAGGGAGTACTTGCGCCGGCGCGCAATGCGGAGCTCAAGCAACGAAGACCAAACAGCGGTCTCACCTATAACCAGCGCTCACACTTTCAGCATGCCTCAACGGTCTATGGAGCAGTTACAGGAGCAGCCGTTGTTGTCTCCTCACTCCTCCGTTGGGCGGGTGGGAGGTGTAGACATGTCACAACAGGGTGTAGACGTGTCACAGTTAGAATCGCAGGCTGTTTGCGACATGCCACAATGTAGTTTGCTCTCTGCATCCGATGAGGCTGTGCAGCAGACAGGCCACAGTTTGCCAACTGCTGGCTTGGGCCCCTCTGGGACAGTGGTTTTGAGTGATCAGGAGCTGGGGTTCGGCAGTGTTGACTGGCCAGGCGATTGTGGGAATGGTTTGCCATACCAAATGGGGGGAGGGGATGAGGACTGTGCTGACTCACAGGCAGGAGGAGATCGTGGACATCAGCAGACGGAAGGTCGCGTGCAAGCGGATGGGACCCCAGGTGAGAAGCAGCCATGGGTGGGTGAGGAGCAGCATCTCTCTCCTCCCCCTGCTTGTGATGGCGCAGTCCCTGCTAATGGCGGTGATGGGTGTCAGCGTAATAGGCGCTGGAACGATGCTGAAACGCTTGCCCTCATCCGCGCGCATGGGGAGTACAGGGTTGCACGAGCAGTCGACTCTGAAGCTATAGGCAATGCTTGCTCTTTGAATAAGAAATGGGAGGGTATATCAGCTGCCGTGTGTGCTGCTGGCTTCTGTAATGACGATGACTGTGAAAATAAGTGGAAGAACCTGTGGAGGTGGTATAGGAAGGTGCTGGTCCACGATCGCATCAGTGGAGTGCAGAGCTATTGGACCATGTCACCTGAGGAACGAGCGAATGATGGACTCAAGTTCCGCCTTCGAAGGTCCCGGTTTGATCTCATTGACTCCTTCAATATGAGAAACCCGACTGTCCATCCTGAAGGTGTTGTCGATCCTGGAGATGAGGAAGATGGGCGAGGACCAGGACAGCGCAGTCAGGGTTCTCCTCCTGTGAGTGGTGGTAGGGCTGAGAGTGGGGTTGACGATGCACATGCTGAAGGGGCTGAAGTGGGAATGTCAGCAAAGCGCAGATGCACTGTCGCAAATGCCCGGTAATCTCCGCAGTAATGAGGGAGCAGACAGACGCACTGAGGGAGCACAGTAGGCGATCGGTGGAGTGCACTGAACTCACAGTGAAAGCCATGTACAAGCAGGCAGCAGTGCAACAACAGATTGGAAAGCTCACTGGCAAAGTTGCTCGGGAGGACATGGCTATTCGGAAGGAGATTGCTCTTCTTATGGCAGACAAGCTTGAGAAGGGGTGGAACGCATTTGCTCCGCCATTGCGAGATTCGCAATCTTCCTCCTCATAAAGGCCACAAAAGTGTTAGTTTTGGAGTAGATGGTGTAGCAAATGATGCACTACTGGTCTGTTTTCTATTATCCAGGGTCTAGTTTCCATTGGTTTGGGTTCAGCTATCTATCTGTGTCAGGTTTTGATAGTGCTGCTCTGAAGACATCGTTTTATTGTGCTGGTTGGACTCCAATGTCCATGGCCCAGCAGATTTTCCGGTCAGTTTTGTAGAGTACTATGAACCAATACCCCTGATTATTGTGTGGTGGTTACCTTTTGAAGTTGGCAATCCGCCTACCTTTTTGAATGCTCTCTCTCTCTCTCTCTCTCTCTCTCTCTCTCTCTCTCTCTCTCTCTCTCTCTCTCTCTCTCTCTCTCTCTCTCTC